AGAGCTCATAATTTGTTTAAAAAAATATAACATATTACACATTAATGAATAAATCAATATATATAAAATTATTTAATTTAATTTAATTATTTAAATTTAATTTAATTTTTTTGTTCACGTAAGCTATAGCTTCTGACCTTTAAATCAAAACATACTCATGATTTTATGACATCAGTTACTGCTCAAGGAAATAACTGTCTATAAAAAAACGTGCATTACGTCTAAATTAAGTCATAAAAATAATGTATTTATGCATTGCTTAATCCAAAGTCATTTATAGCACGTGCCTATATCGTGTGCTATATCGAACATTTTTTCTATCGTTATCAAAGAAGGTGTACCATCGATACCGTTTTATCGCCCAGGCCTACTTTGGACTATAGTCACATAACACTGCAACAAAACCTGTTATGTCAAGCCTGTGGAAACACAGAGTAAGTAGCCGGCTGGGCACTGGCCAAGAATGGTGTCTGGCACAGAACATGCACCATTTCGGTGGAAAAGGAGTAGTGAGGGTTGTTTATTTAGTGCATTTTTTTTTTCCATGGTTAAGAGTAACTGTTACATTAAGAGAGAAATATGAAATTCACTGTGGAGTTCTGTGAAGGCAAATGCATTAGTTTAGACTGAGAAAAATAAACTGAATAATTTTGTCTTGCATGTTAGCCTGTATAGCTGGGAATACCTGATTCATTAAAAAATGTACTGAAACACTTGCTCATGCTGAATGGCCAATCACAAGCCAATCAATCAATCAATACTAAAAATTCTTTGGTGCCAAGTCAAACACTCAAGATAGATTTCTCTTTGTTCAATGTTTAGACAATTTTTTTTCATGATGTTCTGATGATGTGCTGATGTTCCCCCACACTATATTTATCTTGGATCACATTTGTTGTAAAAATATCCTAAAAAATGTGATTGGCTGAGTTGAAAGACTAAGAGGACATAATTATTATCCAATCAGTTTGAACATGGTTTCCATAACCACCACCTCTTTTCTTTTGAACAAGGTACTTTTTCATTCCTCCTGACCACCAAAAAAATAAAATATAATTTCGTAAATTGCATAAACAATTATGAACAAAACAGCATCATGTATTTATGCCTTGCTTAATCCAAAGAGCCGAAGTGCCATTCACACATATTACATTTAAAAACACATGAGACGCAGTGAA